TGAAAAAGAGTCTCCATTCAATTGCATTATGTAATGGCAGACATTTACAAAGTGACACATTTTTAAAGTGTTTATATACCAATGCTAAAAGTCTAACTAATAAGATGGGTGAACTAGAGTACTTCATATTAAATAAGGATATTGATATAATAGGAGTCACAGAAACTTGGTGGGATGAGGCTAAACAATGGGACACCTTAATACCAGGGTACAAAATATGTTGGAAGGACAGAACAGGTCATGCTTATGTGGGAGTGTCACTATATGTGAAAGCGTAAAATCAAATGAGGAGAAAATCTTATGTGAACTACACTGTACTATACAATCTCTATGGATAGTATTTCCCTGCTATAATAAGAATATAGCAGGGATATGTTACCGGCCATATGATCAGGATGGCAATAGTTACTGTGAAATGCTAAGGGAGATTAAAGAGGCTATTAAAAAAAAAACCCAGTAATAATGGGGGATTTCAAATATTCCTATATTGATTGGATACATGCCACCTCAGCACTTGAAGCAGAGATAAATGATTGCTTCTTTGAGCAGCTGGTTCTGGAACCCACAAGAGGAGAGGCAATTCTTGTTTCAGTTCTAAGTGGAGCTCAGGATCTGGTGGTCCATGAGGAGGTAATAGCTGGACCACTTGGAAATAGTGAGCATAATATAATTACATTTAATATCCCTGTGGTGGGAAAAACATCACAGCAGCCAAACACTGTGGCATTTAATTTGAGAAAGGGGAGCTACACAAAAATGAGAAGGTTAGTTAAACAGAAATTAAAAGGTACAGTGCAAGTTTAACTGAGCAATGCAAGTGGTACCTAGACCACAGCAACAGTTAGGGTATGTATACACTACCCTCCTAGTTCGAACTAGGAGGGTAATGTAGGCATACCGCACTTGCAAATGAAGCCCGGGATTTGAATTTCCCGGGCTTCATTTGCATAAGCGGGGAGCCGCCATTTTTAAAACCCCGCTGGTTCGAACCCCGTGCAGCGCGGCTACACGGGGCTCGAAGTAGGTAGTTCGGACTAGGCTTCCTATTCCGAACTACCGGTACACCTCGTTTTTAGAAAGCCTGCTAAAAACCAGTGGGGCCACTGGAAAAATCAAGATGCTACAGGAGTACTCAGGGACAATAAGGCCATCGCAGAGAAACTAAATGAATTATTTGCTTTGGTCTTCATAGTTGAGGAAGAGGGAGATTTCCAAACCTAAACCATTCTTTTTAGGTGACAAAACTGAGAAATTGTCCCAGATTGAGAGGTCAGAGGAGGTCTTGGAACAAATTGATAAACTAAACAGTAATAAGTTCCCAGGACCAGATGGTATACACCCAAGAGTTCTGAAGGAACATAGATTTGAAATTGCAAAACTCTTTACTAACTGTTTTAACTTACAATTTAAATCACCTTCTGTACCCAGTGACTTGAGGATAGTTAATGTAATGCCAGTTTTTAAAAAGGACTCCAGAGGTGATCCAAACAATTACAGGCTAGTTAGTATGACTTCAGTACCGGATAAACTGATTGACAATTATGTTCTTTCAATCACATAGATCAGTGTTTCTCAACCAGTGTTACGAGTATCCTT